GTAGAACTCACTCCCAAAAGACTAGCCGATTAGGAGGGGACACCTAGCTTATAAGCCACCGAAAGCCCATACTTGATCGGTGTGAGATTGTTACAAGAAGATAAAAGATAAATTAAAAAGAGAGTGAAAAGGTAAGTAATGTTGGATGAATTGAAGAAAACACTAGAGGTGGGAGATCAGGTACACCTCAAAATACTACCTTACAAACTCAAAAGCCTAGCCAAGAAAGTCAACCAGAAGTTGAGCCCAAGGTTCTATGGACCTTTTGAGGTCATTGAGAAGGTGAATCCAGTTTCACCCATCCTGTTTTTCGCTAATCTCTATTGAAGAAAACCTTATCTCCTAATCTAGTATGTCAGCCTCTTCCTAAGTACCTTTCAAAGGAATGGGAACTTCATGTGACCTCAAAGAGAATTTTGGATAAGGAAGTCAGCCCGCAGGAGAGTAGGAAGTCCTAGTTCACCGGAAACTGCTACCAGGCTTTGAAGATTCATGGGAATCCCTGAGCTAATTTCAGAAGCAGTTTCCCGCATTCCATTAAGGACTAGGTGGTAGTTGAAGATGGGAGTGATGATAGACAGGGACATGAGGGTATATAGACAGCCTATTAAATACTTGGCTAAAGGGTCAAATAGGTCCTTGTACCCGTCCAGAATGCTCAATTCGCCCCCGAACTCTAAAAAGCTCCAATTCATCTCCTGAACTCGACAAAAATTTCAAACCTCATTTTTTGCCGGTAAAGGTCCGGTCACCACCACGTCACCCGGTCAGGTGCCAACCTTGCATCCCACGCGGCAATTTAAGGGGTCAAATAGGCCCTTGAACCCAACAGAGTTGTTTAATTTACCCCCTCAACCGTTAAATAGTGTCCAAATTGCTATTACTCTCTCCGTCTCCCTATTGTTGTCCCAATTCCTACTCACTTGGTCAACACAAATCACTGTTAATCTCTTACTTTATGTATCCAATTTTTATCAAATTTGATTTTGGGTTTTGCGACTTTGAAAAGCTTTTAATGTAGTTTTTGTATATGCAATTTTTTTTTTTCTAAAAATAATTTGAGTGCGGACAAGGATCCGTTTGCTTTATCGTTGGTAAAACATCCTATAGGACAATAATAGGGGGACAGAGGTAGTAAAAAATAGAAAATAAAAATATAAAATAGGGAAAACTATCATATACGTCCCCATACTTTAAGCAAACCGGCAATTAAATCCTTATACTTTCAAAACGTTCAATTAAGCCCTCAAAGTAATAAAAACCACCCAAATAGGTCGTTTAGCCGGTAATACGCCGGTCTTCCGGTAATCCTATTGAATGGGCTGTCCATGTGGCGTTATTACTGTTCATTCATATTTTGTAAAACATCCATCCCCTCATATTCTTCCTCCAACCATCGTCCTCCCCTGCTTCATGTTCGTTACCCAGTTTTTCCGTAGCATCACAATCCAAAAACCATTTTAAAAAATTCACTAACCTATTTCTTTTCCTTGTTTGTGTATCATCCCAGATTTTCAGTTTCTTTGATATCTTCCATTAGATCTGAATTTTCATACCATTTAATTACTCCATATTAATCAAGAATCAGCCACCAAAGTTATACTTCCGCACACCCTTAGCACCATACAGCCACGCAATTGATTTACCGGACAACCGAAAGATGACAGTCTAAGTAGCCAATTTGGACGTTTTTGACAACTTGAAGGATTTAATTGAGTGTTTTTAAACTACAAGGACTTACTTGCCGTTTTTGATAAAGTACGAGGACTTATTTGATAGTTTTCCCTATAAAATAATATACTCCCTCCATCCCACTTTAAGGTTCCCACATGATTTACGATGTTTGACTGACCATAAAGTTAACTGATCCCTGTCATTAATAGAATTATTTTTAGTAAATAAAATTTACATATTCAGAAACTACATTAAACCCGCTACAAAACCTACAAAAAATCATTTAAATTTCATAAACTTTCGATATAAAAAGTAAAAGATTAAGAACAATGCACGTTGACCGGAGAATAGTGTACGGGAACCTTTAAATGGGACAGAGGGAGTACAAGTTTATAATATAAAATATAGACGCGTATTAATAATATATTAATAATATAATAAAGATATATTTATACTCGCGCTAAATTCATAAAAAATAAACTAAAAGAAATTCATTAAAATTATTTTGATATTATAAATCTATTGTTTTTTTAAAATAAACAATACATATTTTTCCAATTTAAAATTATATGCAATATTTGGTATTATAAAACATATTTTAGGTTTTGTATTTTACAATTTCTACTATGTTTATATATTATTAGAGTTGTATTTTTTTATTTGATATGGAGTATTTTTTAATATTTTTATTATGTTTTAGAGTTATATGTAAAATCACACACACACACATGCATATATGTATTACTTCGTATTATTTTATTCTAGAATTTTATACCATACTTCATACTAATTACATACACCATAAAAAAATTTATACTATATAAAAAGTATAATATGAAAATAGTTACTCCGTATTACATTTTTTAATTATGTATTTAAAAATATTATCTCTCATATTTTTTTATATTATAAATAGACGTCTATATTTTATATTATGAACTTGTATATTATTTTATTTTTTTAATTTCTTATTTTTTAATAACAAATTTGACACTTTTCAACTGTTGAGGGGGTAAATTGAACAACTCTGTCGGTTCAGGGGTCTATCTGACCGGGGTGACGTGGCGGTGACCGAACTTTTACCTGCAAAAAAGGATATTTGAATTTTTTTGTCCAATTCAAGGGGTGAATTGGAGTTTTTAGAGTTCAGGGGGCGAATTGAGCATTCTGGACGGGTACATGGCCTATTTGACCCTTCAGCCTAAATACTTTGATAAAGTGTTCAAAAGGAGGGGGTCAAGAAATTGTAACTAATTTGTGCTGAGGTGGACATTCCCGGTCGTGGGAACTGGGAATTATTAATAGGTGCGGGGAAGGGAAATATGGGGCAGTTGAGTATTCTGTTAGTTGGTTGGGCTTGGGAAGCGAGAGACACTCTTTTGTCTCATTACTTTCTCTTTTATAGCTATGAGATTTCCCTGTAATTCCTTAAGGATCACTTAGTTATCCGCTTGATCCATTGATCAATATAAGTTGAGTATTGTCCTTGGTTGTGTTCTTATCATCAATCAAAGTATGTTGGGCATGTTTAACTAGTTTAACTTTAGACATGCAATTGACAGAAATCATTAGTATTTTTTACCTTAAGAGTGTCGTCATATCATCATCACCATCACCATCATTACCCCAGTGCCGCAGCAAAGGCTCCAACCTACGGTGGAGTAGGGGGGGTTGGATGTACACAACCTTACCCTGTACAAAAGCACAGAGAGACTGTTTTCAGATGATCCATGGTGAAAATTACGTTGAAAATTGCATGGACTGATTGCTGCTTCATAACAAAGAGCGCAGATAGTTTAGTGAACCATTTTTATTTTATTTCATTATATTCCCTAGCAAAAAATAGTGAATCTTTGGCTCCATTGCAAATGATGGAAATAGAGTGTCGTTGTACTAAGAATTTAAAAAAAATAAATGCACGTTAATTACAACACCTATGCCTAAGTGATAGTTAATATTTTTAGTATTATGTTCACACATAAAAAGATAGATTGAACTGTTTTGTTAAAAATGATATTAAACATCAGTAAAAAAACAAAAAGTACTCCCTTCGTCCCCTATAACTTTGCAAAAGTTGATTGACACGTAGAATAATAAATTAAAAAGTGTGTGGTTGAGGTTTGTGTAGAGGAGAGAGAATTAATAGGAATCACAAATTCTTTATTTAAAAGGGAAAGTGGCAAAGTTAGTGAGACAACCTAAATAGGAAAGTTGTCATCAAATTTATAAGGGACGGATGGAGTAGTTGATACACTTTTTGACTATTGTGATTGAAACACTGAATTAGTTTATAAAGTTACCTTTTCACAACATGTATGCTTATGTATATTAAGCATTCTATTTTAAGGATTTTTCAATAAAAGTAAAATTAACAACATCATCATCATTACCCCAGTGCCGCAAAGTTCCTACCTACGGTGGGGTAAGGGGGTCGGATGTACTCAGAAGTTGTTCTCTTCACCTGATCTGAATGTTTCTGATCTGAATTTTTTAAGTTCTGATCTGATCTGATCTGAATTTTTCTGATCTGATCTGATCTGAATCTTTCTGATCTGATCTTAATGTTCCTGATCTGATCTGAATGTTCCTGATCTGATCTTAATGTTCCTGATCTGATCTGAATGTTTCTGATCTGATCTGAATCCTTCTGATCTGATCTGAATCTTTTTGATCTGATCTGATTTGAAAATTTCTAAAATTATAATTATAATTACTATAATTATAAATGTAATTACACATATATAATTTAAATATAATTATAATTATAATCATAATTATAAAAATTATAATTATAATTATAAACATAATTATAATAGGTATAATTATTATTATACGTATTACACTAGTTATAAATATAGCTATAATTATATTTATAGTTATATTTATTTCTATAATTATAATTTTAATTATAATTATAATATTTATTTCTATAATTTTAATTGTAATTACTCCGTATAATATGATAATAACGAAAACAAAACTAATAACAATAACAACAACAACCATAATATTAGTAAGGATAATAATAATCATCAGAGTAATCATAGTAATCATAATAATAATAACAATAATAATAACAATAATAATAATAATAACAATAATATTAAGAATAATAATAATAATAATAATAATAATAATAATAATATCAATAATAATAGTAATTAAAATAATTACAATAAGAACAACAACAACAATAATTATTATTATTATTATTATAATTATTAATATTATTATAATTATTATTATATTAATAGGGATAAATCATATCTGAACTTTTCTGATCTGATCTGAATGTTCCTGATCTGATCTGAATGTTCCTGATCTGATCTGAATGTTCCTGATCTGATCTGAATCTTTCTGATTTGATCTGATATGAATAAAATAAGAATAAGCAATAAGTAATAAGATTAAGACGAACAGAACAACTTCTCAGTCTAACCCCTGCAGTAAAGCACAGAGAGAGAGAGACAGTTTCTGGATGATCTGTAGTGAAAATTGCGTCGAAAATTGAATGGACCAATAGGTTCTTCATAAGAAAGAAGAGCAAACAGTTTAGTGAACTATTCATTTCAATAAAATAAAAGACTACCAATTAAGGTAGATTAAAGCATTTTACTTTTGAAGAATTGTTTACAACCATCGTTTATCCACTTAACAACTAAGGGTGATTTTCATGCACCATGGTTAGTTTTATAACTAATAGTGACATGGAAGGCATAATTATTCTAAGATGTTTTCATGAAAACAGAAATGTTGTGTGAAGATATTGTCCCTTAAAAGTCGGTTAGTTTACTTAGTTTTGAAAAATTACCTTCGTTTGAGTTTAAAGAACACCTTGGAACTATTTAGCAGTTACGTGAAGAACTTGAACAATAGAACTTCATTTGTTCTCTACAAACCATCTGTGGAAGTGTGCATGAGGTTGTGTTTCCCTTCATATAAAGAAACTAAACTTAGTCCTTGTTAAATTTGTTTGTAAACATGCATCAACTAAAATATATAATAACATTTGTTTAGAGTCATGTCACAAAACTGATATTATCTATTGAAAATTTGACGATGAAAATACATATTAGGTAATCAAATTGATACTCTACCTAATGACTCTCTTCTCATTGTCAGATCACTTTATGATGACATTCACCGGTCTGGTGTTATATATGCTGAATTCTGAATCTGGAGTGGCCTAATGAGGATTTTGAGGGTTCCCTACACAAAGTATATAGTCCCCAATGTCTATCATTGGGAATATCAAAAGTCACTTGGAACATTGCTCGTATTTATAATTGATAGCCAAAAATTATTGTACGCTGTGCATGTAGCACGTCATTTTTATTCTCCAAACGGATTCAAACATAAATACCCCCCAAATTAGGGATCTTTTGAATTATTCTAGGTATAATTTATTCTTTATTTCTTCCTAGGATTGTAAGAAGGGTGATATTATTATTGTAAGGGCGTACACTCATTTACTACTCTCTGGAACTATCCTGCTAGTGTGTATATTTTTAGGTGAAGCTAGTGATTCCGCTCGAAATATACCACATATCTGCCCTGCTTGTGGGGTGTGGTCCGTCACTCTGCTTTATTTTGTTATATGCTAATACTCAACTATGAACTATCCCTTCTATTATGCAGTCGGCTGGAGGGGAAGACTTTAATTGATGCAAACCATGTATTCCTTGAAACGCATAAAGGTTAGTACTCTTTTTACATGTATGATACTTCATCATCATCATCATACATTCATACCCTAATCCCAACTATATTTTGGCCGTTGGCATGAATTTTGTGTCAAAAGATCATATATAATTATGTAAACACTAAATTCAAGCAAAAAATATGCGGGTACTCCATCCAGGATCCGTCTTATATTACTACAACGACATCCTAGCCTTAGTCCCAAAAGATTTTGGGGTCGGCTAACATGAATGAATACATGATATTGGAGCCAAAAAGAAAAGAAAGATAAAAAAGATAAAAAAAATAAGGTAAGATAAAAAAAGGATAAGATAATGATACATATAAGATAAAGATAAAAATGATAAGGTAAAAAGAAAAATAAATAAAATAAAAGGGATAAACACATAAGAAAGATAATGAAGATATTAAGGCGTGCATAGTATTAAGACGTGCATGTTTTTAATGCAGGTTTATAAGAGTGCAATTTTGTTCACCCTCTCCTTGGAGGGTGAACATAACCCCCCTCCCTATTTGCTTGCCATGTGGCAAAAAAAGAAATGAAATGCCAAATGGCAACATTTGAGCTATGGGGGTGATGTTCACCCTCCAAGGAGGGGTGAACAAAATTGCACTCGGTTTATAATGCATGTATTAAAATCCATCTCATAGTATTAGTTCCCAAAAAACGTGCATGTTGATGATGCTGTTGATTGCAAATCATTATTAAAAACAAGTTTCTTTGGGAGCATATTTTTGATCTGTTCTATTTCAGTCACTATGTCCTTACCTTCAAGTGATAACAACAACAACAATGGGTTTGGTTCCGTTACAGATTCATTGATTCATAGGGCTGCTGTAGCGGAGTTGCTGCATGTCCTAGAGCCAAATAAGAAGGCAGATGCTGTTAAGTTAATTGAAGAGTCTTCAAATGGTCCAGTTTCAGTGTATGAGCTATTGACATTTGATTTGTTTTTATAGTTGAATCAATTCTCATTTCCTTTATTCTTAAAAATCTTTAACCTTGCATTTTTCCCAAAGTAGAAATGGAGTACAAGGGTCATTAATTAATTGGAAGCTGAAAGATTGCATTGATGTCCACAAATGTCTAGATATAGCTCTGGATGAACGTGATGCTGCATTGAGTAAGTTGTTTCTTCGTGTCTTATGCTCATTACTAGTGCATTAAAGTCATAAGATTTATGTGAACTATAGTTTTCAAATTGGATTCCATTGATCTTTTAAGGAATGATTAAGAGTATTAACTGTATAAATAACACATTTTGATACCAATGACTGGCCATTTAGCAATAATGTAAAATATTTTGATACCAATGACTGGCCATTTAGCAATAACGTAAAACATAGTAAAATGACTGGCCATTTAGCAATAACGTAAAACATAGTAAAATGACCAAGTTGCCTCCTTATTTATTTCACCATTGCGTGCAATTAACATCCCTAACATCCCTGATAATTGGAAATGCAGAAGCAAACTATACATTTTACTTGATATAGTAAATTTTACTATATGTTGTTGCTGTAGTAGTAAATTATACTCCCTCCGTCCCAATATAAAAGGCACACTTTCTTTTTCTGTCCGTCCCAATATAAAAGGCACATTTCCCTTTTTGGCAAACAAAACAGTGCAAAACAGTGCCAAACAGTGTCCAAACAGTGCCAAACAGTGTCTAAACAGTGTCAAACAGTGTTCAAACAGTGTTCACCCTTAAAAACTCCCCAAACGCAAATGTGCCTTTTATATTGGGACGGAGGGAGTATATACTACTCCCTCCGTCCCGAAAACAACTTCCCGGTTGGACTTTCACACACTTTTAGGAAATAAATTTGACTTTAATGTAGAATGCACTGTTTGGCACTGTTTAAACACTGTTTGGCACTGTTTAAACACTGTTTGACACTCTTTATCACTTTTTTGATGTAGATAATTTGCCAAATAAGGAAAGTATTGAAGTGTGAAGTTAATTTTGGGACATCCATTTAAGGAAAGTGGGAAGTTGTTTTCGGGACGGAGGGAGTATATACATTTATGATATACAACATACATTTTATTCGATCAGGCGGTTTTTCGTAGTGTAAATTTTACTTGAAAATTGAAAATGCAAAATATCTATGATCCCTTATGAGTTTAAGGCCTCAAGTAATGATACATTAACATCCCTAGTATATGTGATATAAATACATTATCACTTCAGCACGTTGAAGCATGATTATGCTTTCTGAGAATTATCAGAAGGGATGCATTATGAGGCCTCATAAATTTTCAAACATTATGCATCAAGAAAGGATGCATATTGGATCTTAGGAGATATACGTTATCAATTATGCATAATGAACCTTGCCTCGGAAGTGCAAAGCAACTCAAGGCTTAAAAACCTTATCCCTCAGTTGAATAAAAAAAGTTTAATTTCATTTAGCTCTGTCCACAGGTTCCTAAGATGAAAAATACATCCACCCTTTGATAAATCAAACTTCTTTAAATGACAAGAAAAGATGACACTATATTATGATATCAGAAGGGATCTTTAATTACATGAGAGGTTTAGGTAGGTTCTGGATCCAAATCGAAATTGGACATCCAAAAACGGAACTAACATTTTCGGTTTTAGAAAATTCATAACTGAAACTGAATCCATATATGGTTAGGAACCGATATTTGGCAACCAGAATTTTGGTTCAGTTTTATCAGAAACCATTTTTTTGTCTATCCCAATTCCCAAAGCTTTAAAGTAGTTATTTTTGTGAGGGCTTAAAGTAGCTTTCTAAAAGGCAGCAAAAAGTGAAAAGCGCCACTGGAAATCCAAGCGCACATGTAGGGCATGATAAAGAGTGTTGCCTAACCAGTAACCAATAAATTATTTGTACATTAAAATGTATATATTCCAATAAAGTTTAAAAAGGTTAGTTCGGTTGCCGTGGTGGTTTGTTCTAGAGAGGCGGAGTGTATAAAGAATTTGGAACAAGTTCAGGTGCTCAACTATATACTCTCTCCGTCCTGAAAAGGTTCGTCAAATTGACTTTTCTTGCTCAATGGCAATCAACTTTGACCAATGATATTTTTTAATACAAAATTATTTAGAATATGAAAATTATATCAAAATGTCCCTTATTCAAAATATTTTCATAAAATTATAAATTTATAAATTATATACAAATATAATAATTAAAATCATTGTCCCTAGTTTGCCATCATTGATCAAGAAAAGTCAATATGGCGAACCTTTACGGGACGGAGGATTCAGATCAATTCCTTGGTGATGGATAATCACAGAAGTATTCCAAAGGGGGTACCCACACGGACAATTTTCAACAGATTATATGCTATATTTTTTCCTCCTCAATTTCAGTGCCTTATACAATTTGATGATTGTATAAGTGGTGGTATGGGCTTTTAGCTCGCATCCCCCCCCCAAGAAATCCCCAATGAAAAATACATAGTATTCTCCTCTTTCTATCGAATTGATCGTAAACACTACCAATATTCCATAAAATAGTACACCACATATACAAACTAATAAAAAGACCCCAAATTCTGTAGAAATACATGACTATTTCTTGTGAAAAAAAAAGAATTTGCTTGGCTGGAAAAATAGATATCCAATTTCTACCAAGATAATTGGAAGTTCCTACTAATAAGAATCCCAAGGAACCTAAAGATTATAGACTTGGGTATAAGTTCTATGCATAGATGCTCTGATCGCCAACTCATACTACATCCGATTTTATTTTATTGAATTAATAAAAAACCCCATTTATTTTGAACTTTGCTATTTCTAAAGTAATTTTCATCAAATATATACTAGTTTGATGAGAACTGGCACTAGATTGATGGAAACCTTTAGGGGTAATTCATAAACTTGGTTAAGTCTATAATAATAATGCCTGAAGTCAATACGATTCAACAGTTATTCCTCATGTGACACAAGAAAAAGACAAGTTCCAAAAAGGGAGGACCCTTGTATGATTTGTATCTAAAATATCTAAAAACTCTTATTTTTTCTTGAACAGCAATAAATTAATAAAACATTGCAATTAACGGCAATAGTAGTTTTGGCCCCCTTTCTGTCAGCAGCACCCAAGCTGAGCACCTTCCCGTCTTTGAAGATTTTTCGTGATAATAATTCACGAACATTTTAGGGAAGTCGAGGACATGGGGCATGAAAGGCTTGGGCAGGTATGACAGGATCTTCAAGAAGAGCAACTCCATGAGCTCTTCAAGGCCTGTTGCAATGCCCTTGGCCTAAGATTCTAGGGAAGGTCAGTGACAAAGGATTTCCCCTCAACCGAGATTTTGTGTAACTCGACCTCGACATTCAAAGATTTTGAGACACGAAGCCGCTCGACAATGAATCCGGAGAAATTACCCTGCATGTACTCCGAAGCTGGCTAAGAAGATCCACAATGAGGTAACTCCGATCAGGGGCTGGAAGAGTGGCGTCCACAAATTTCACCTTGGCCGCCTCGGCGGCTGCCACATTCAGCAGACCCTTGAGCCGCCTTGAGTGCAAGGTTGGATGCCTCTTTGCCTTTTGCCAGAGTGGCCACCTCTTTCTCCCGGTTCAAACACACTATTTGAAGCCGCACGCCATTCTGAAATAGTGACCACCCAGCCAGAACGGGAACAGACATCAGTGAAAAGGACAGAGGAAACAGAAGGCTCGGAATATTACTTTGAAAAGATCAAGGAGGGCTCCCTCCTCCAAGTTGTCCGTCAGAGTCTCTCAGAAGCCACCTGAGCAGCGGTTTACCCACCGATGCAGATGGAGCCGTCTGAAGCCACCATAAGCAAGCAACGTCACCTAGGACCTCCCGACAAGGCTTTTTTGCCAAGAGTTGCTCTTCAGGGATTGAGCTGAGGGAACACTCGAGATTGATCGCGGGGCCGTCCGCCTCAAGGACACTTGTCAATGGCAGTGGGTTGAGGATGACAGTAATGATCTAGGGACGCCTGTCGAGCCAGCCTTCTCTTGACAGCCTGAAGTTCGGACATCAGATGTTGTCTTATTCTTGGCCTGGGTGGTGGCCCGGCGAGCGGCGTTAGCACTTAGCCCTCTGATGCTTCTTTACATTCATCTCAGCTTGGTTTGGTTGATCTGTCATCTGGCCATTACCTATCCAAGGTGAGCCTCGATGTCCGACTCAATGTGACTGAGCTCTCAGAAACTGGAGTGCGTAAAAGGATCAACACCGGGCAACATGCCAATTCCCACGTCAGCCAAGCGAGCAGTCGTGACATACTTAGTGACCGGTTCACCAATCTTCGATGGGAAGGTGTTCAAGTGATTAGTGAACAGGATTTCCCCTATTTAGACGAGGAAGAAGCACCGTTTCCAGGATTTATGGGAGGATTTGTTGTGTTGGAAGAGGATCCGCCCGTCCGAGAATTGATGAAGACACACGAAAGAAGTGGCGGAAGAGATTCAGGTTGATAGTCGCACCTTTTTCGCAGCAGAGGACAATGAAAGCCGCAATCACGCTGTTGGTGTTTGGCATAAACTGAGCCGGATGATGTAGTAGACGTTGAATATTCAACGAAGAATGAATGGAAGGGAAAGCCTCACCAGCCACTACCGCACCATTATGCACCATTATGCATTGGGGCTTGTCCCGCATGAGATGCAGGATGAAATTGGCAAATCACTGGACCTCAGACTGGATGTAGAACATGATCCGCTTGATGAGGTGCTTGGACGACACCTGATCTTGGAATTGGATGGCCTTTGAAGTTCAATTCGTGATAGTGGTGCGTTTCCGGATGACCACCACCCCTTTGGTAATCCCTACGTTCGGATCCCGACTCATACTTATCCGGGTCTCATTTGTCATCCTCTCTGGAAGCCTCCTCTTCCCTGCTCGTGCCAGATATGCTCTCCTCTTCTTCATCACCTACTTCCTTGGCTGCCCAGGAGCCGGAAGCACCATCCTTTCTGATGCCCTTGCCAGAATTTTCCCATCCCATGCGGGTGAGACGTTGATACTGGGATCACTTGAACCCAAGCCGGTTGTTCCTGAAGCAGAAACTATGGGATGCTCGTCCTCTTGAGTTTGGCGGTCAAAACTTTCACTTGACATCACTGGGGTCTCTGAGAACTGAAGACTAGTGGGAGCCGTTGGAGGTCAGAAGG